GTGAGCATTATTATTATTATTATTACTATTATTATTATTATTATTAGTAGTAGTAGTAGTAGTGGTAGTGGAAGTGGTAGTGGTAGTGGTGGTAGTAGTAGTAGTAGTAGTAGTAGTAGTAGTAGTAGTAGTAGTAGTAGTAGTAGTAGTAGTAGTAGTAGTAGTAGTAGTAGGAAATATCCTCTTATTATTCTTTGAAAAGTCAGAACGTGTGGAATACTTTGATTGAGTTATCGAGTAATCCAGTGAGTAGTGTTAGTATTAATATTATTGGTAGAAGCAGTAGGAGAAGTGGCAGTAGTAAAACAGTAGCAGTAGTAGTAGTGCCAGTGTAAAGTAAAGTGCAGTACTGTTTTAATAAACATGTACTAACTAACTGATAACTGATGAAGAAGAACTTAATTGAGAGACACTTGAAAATGATAAAACATTCACTAGGGAATAAAAAGAAATCTTTTATTTTTATTAAAATTTTTACTACTCTTATTATTTTCATTAATACAATTAACTCATTGACTTTTTTACTGTTATTAATGATTGAAATAACAATTTTTAACAATGACAACAACAAAATCGGTAACAAAATTTGAAACGACAAAAACATTAGCAACATCAACAATAATGATGATAACGATAACGACAACTACAACGACCATCAACAAATAAAACGTAATATAACAACAACAACAACAACAACATCATTGACAACAACAACAATAATAATAACAACAACAATAATAAAAACAACAAAGCCGCCATTAGTCTTTTATGAAGAAACGTGATGATAATTTCGATTAGACTTCGCTTAGAAACCACGATGATGATGATAATGATGATGATGATAAGAATAATGATGATGATAATGATGATGAGAATAATGAGGATGATAATGATGATGCTGATAAGAATAATGATGGTGATAATGATGATGGTGATGATGACGACGACAATGATCATTATTATTAGCGTTATTATCTCCATTTCCGTTTCATTATTACTTTTTCACCACAGATGATGGTGACGATGAGGACAATGATGACAACCGCGATACATTTTTTCATAATTTTAGCCAGGCATCCACGTTGAATTTCATTTCAAGGCAGCTTTTTTAAAACGCATTACGTATAAATTCGTATAACTGTTTTACCATTACAAAAGAACATACCGGAATAAAAAAAAAAATACACGAACGTATTATAAACTTTAAGTAGGAATCTGTAAAAATGTGCTTGAACATGTTCATAATTCTGCTATTAAGCGAACGAGTAAATCTATCTGGCGCTCCGTAATGAGTGTCAGTTTTTCCCCACCAACTTCGCGAAACACTTAAAGATAAGAACTCTTGTATTGCGATATTGTACTTGCAGAACAACAAAAACACGACAGCATCAACAGCAACATCAGCGGCTGTGAGCTGCTGCAACAACTAACACAATATAACAAAAATAACAGAAATATATACATACATAAGCTAGCCATTCTAACAAATTTCAATTTTGTGGCTTGCCTCAAGTATAGAGTAACTAACCTATAAGTATATAAAATATACGATTTGATTAGTGTGTGCTTTTTGTACAATGAGCAAACATTTTGCATATGTTATTACGTTGGCATATAAGAGCATTTGAAATTAACCACGCCAATACCGATAATAATGTTAACCAAATAATAATAACAACATTTGAATTGCCGAAAAATTATTATAAAATGAACTATAAATGCCATATTATTAACATTTGGTCATATTGATTGATACTAATCTATGAAAGAACCTATAATAAATATTAAAGTATTGCTAGTCCACAAGTTATGCATAGGCACATTTGGCAAACAGACTGTTAGATTTTCTTGAATTTAAATTCCCATTATTTGCAGATATAATATATCTATATATCTGTAAATATCTCTATATTGTACTATGCAGTGCATCAGCTGTTCGTGTCCTTGCATCTATATGAGTATCTCTTATATCTATTATTCGTTTATCTATCATAAACACAAAAACGCATGAACGTTTGACAAACATAAACCAATAAATTCTCTCTCTCTTTTTCTCTCTCTCTTTTTCTTTCTCTCTATTTCTTTGTTATATATATATTAATATATATTGTTATATATTTAATACATATATTGTTATATATATATATATTACAAGCGATATATTTTTATATATATATATATATTTATATTATGGCGATTAAGTTTTATGTAAAGGGGAAATGTGAATGAGGGTGATTTTATGAAAGCTTGGCTTACTGTTTTGCATTGTCAAATTGAGGGAAGAAGGCGCAGGAAAGTTATGTACACACACATGCAAGTTATGGATGTTTGTACACACACCCAGAAATGACCATAAAGTTATAATACGATATGTATTTACACATTTGTACAATAGGAAGTTATTATTAATATATTAATATAATCTGTTTTGTCGGTTGTACAACTGCTGCCGACCAGCACTTGCCGACAAAATTCATATTTGAAATCAAACATTGTACAAAAACGAATTTGATTATAATTTTATAAAAAAAACATATAGGTACACACGTACACACACGTGTGCAGCACACAATTGAAAACCACGACGAACGTTTGTGTAATGATTGTACATCTGGCAGCCTGTATTGATGTTCTGTCGATTACGCACTTATTTGGCCGTTAAAGAATAAATGCAGTAAATAGAGAAAAGGAGAGAGACGGGCATACAAACATGGATGCAAGCAGACAGATAGGCACACGGATCTTGGTAGACATAGACGGATCTTGGTAGACATAAACAATTCTTCTGTTTTTGGGTTCTCCAGGTAGGTAAGCATTAAGCAAGCAAGCATAGCAATCACATGTTTGCTCCTACAATTCTTCTGTTTTTGGGTTCTCCAGTCCCCACTCTCACCTACCACTGAGTAATTTCTAAAAATTCTAAAAATTTGGCCTAGTTTAAAATGTTCAATTTAATCCAGTTACGTGCTTATAGACAATATGTTTTTAGCAATATTCTAATGAAAAAAAACTAATTACGCTTTTAATTTGTTTTTTTTGTTTAAATTTTTAATGACAATTAAGAAAGAAAATAGCATTTTTTTTCATTAATAACGTTTTCAGCCACTCACGCCCAGCGGCGCCATCTACGAAATAAATAAATAATTTCACTATTTTCAATCAATCAATTAGATGCACTTGTTGCACCAGGCACCTTTCTTCATTGTACTAAAAACTTGATGTGATAAAATGCGGGATGTAGTTTATCATCTACCTTTATTGTCAATATATAGTGGTTGATTTGTTTGAAACATCTTTATTGTAATGCTCTGTGTTAAAATAATTTGAATTTGTGGCGCGTTGTTGGTAGGTACATACACTACAACTGTACAATTTAGAAATACTTTTAGACATTTCGCCTCATTTCACACGGCAAGGCATCACATCCCATTATAAAACATTGCATTTTTTGTGCCATCACCGAATCCTCTGATGACATCACATCACAAAACCGGCGCTAAGTGGCATGATCCCGTTACATCAGGTTACATCACATTACGCAGCAACATCCCATCTAAAAACTGGCCCTTTATTTATGATCTTCAAAATCAGACGAATGTTTGAAATCCCAAACCTGAATGAACGAATGATAGGAGTAGAACTGCATTCAAGTGCACGTTATATGATGAATGTACTCTGCGTATATCGATAAATGTGTGTACGTGCGTGTATACGTGTGTGCGTATGTATGTGTGTTTATATATAAGTGTACGTGTGTGCAAGTATTTGTATCTATCATTTGCGTATATGGGTAGTTATTCGTAATATCTCTTAGCAAAAATGTGTGCTGCTGCGTTTGTTGTTTCAATTTTCGTAATTTTCAATTCTTGTCTCTCCGCCAACGCTATAGAATATTAATAAAATGTGTACTCAATAGCAGTGTTTCAGATTTGTTCATAGTATAAGCTGAAACTTTTTTCGACAATCAATTTTAGTAATTGCACCATTAAAAAACCGTGACAAATTGTTAGAGAAACTTTGGTGTTGAACATGGACTCTACCAACATGACTTCAACTTACACGTGTAGTGATAGTACTCCACCTACTTTTCAGCATTGAAATAAATTTTTCAACTATTCATTCGTTCATTCATTCATTTATTCATTCGTTCGTTTGTTCGTTCATTCATTCATTCATTTAATCATTCATTCATCTACTCATTCGGATGCAACCACATTAATAACATACAGACAAACAAACACACACATACAAACAATGATAAATGCACCGACTCACACAAACACATATACACATACACTCACACAAACAACCGCACACATTCTTGCCGGCAGCACATCATTAAAAAATGCCCAAGCGAATGACTGAATCAGACTCGAATATCAATTGGTTGGATTTTTCATATGGATGCATAATTTCTTGTTATTGATGTTGATGTTCATGTTGACGCGATTGCTGACGTTGCGTTATTTTGTCGTTGCTTTGTTGTTGGTGCGTTGTCGTTGTTGCTGTGTTGTTGTTGTCGTTGTTGCTGTGTTGTTGTTGTTGTCGTTGTTGTAATATACGTTGTTGTAATATACGTTGTTGTTGGTGGCATTGCTGACGTCATAGCCGATTCCGGTCAGCGTTGATGAGTAATATTTATGTTGATGTTGTTGCTGATGATGTGTTGTTGCTGATGGTTATGTCATCGCTGTTGCTGTTATTGATGTTGTTGTGGACGCCTTTTGTGGATGTTGTTGTTGATGTTGTTGTTGATGTTGTTGGTATTAAAGGCAACCATACTGAAAAAAGCAGAAGATTATTAGTATGGTATTTTTGTGTATGTTGTTGTTGTTTACATTCATGAACCTTGTATTGTTGTTGTTATTTTTATTATTATTTGTATCGTTAATTTAGTCGGTGTGTGTTGTTGTACTACTTACAATTATTATTTATGCTAAGCCTGTTTATGCTGTCCTCTTCACCCCTGTTCTTTTGATGGTTCTTTATGTCTTTTTCTTCTTTCTGTTGGTGTTGTTGTTTGTTGTTGTTGTCCGTTATGTTTTAGTAAATATTTTTTTCATTTTTATGTAGTTAGTGAAATTGCCGAATGCCAGTATTCTTAAATTAATTTGTTATTCCTTGATTAATTAAATTGCGTTCGTAATTTTTTTCCATTATGTCAAAGTTGCATAGAGAAAAATGACACGATTTCTGAATTCTTTCATACCCATATTTTAAAAGTTAAATTGTATGTAAGGAATTAAAGAAAAATACAGATACATATATGTGTAGTGTACGCGTGTGTATGTGCATGTGTGTGTGTGTGTGTGTGCATGTGTGCATGCGCTTGTGTAAGAGTGTGTGCGTGCGATTTTATGAACATTGAATAAACAACATCTATTAGTTTGATATTAATCTTATTTATTGCGAATTATTCATAATCGCTATTGTCAAATTTTATTTTCTGGCAAAAGTAAGTTCTCAGTATGAAGTTGATAACAAACCACTGGCTGATATTGTTTTAGAAGCAAAGTGGCAAAAAGGAAGAGAAATAAATTGACAAATTAACCTAGAAACAAAATATTTTTACTTAATCAGAGTTCATTAATTTATTTTTGTCCTATCTATGCTTAATTTGTTAGCAAACATTACTACGAACTGAAAAATGACGTGCAGCCGTTTTAGCTGTTCATTGAGAGAAGCCAGCCACACGACCAACCGACTATTCTTTAAATGGGGAGTTGCTGTTTGTCACAATCTGAGCTGAAAAGTAGTGGCCGCTTAGCTATCAACAACCCTTATGTGATATGAAAAACAAACTACAAACATATTGACGCCAAACATTCCCTAGAATTTATAGAATTTTGTAAATATATATATATATATATATATAGAGAGAGAGAGAGAGAGAGAGAGAAAGAGAGAGAGAAAGAGAAAGAGAGAGAGAGAGAGAAAGAAAATATTCAGTAATATATTTTTGCATCCATTTCACATAGTATATACAGTAGTGCGTAGATGGGGAAGAGGAGAAGAGGCACAATATGTTCTGGCAATAATGGTCATTTGTTTGTCTGTACGTGAGCATGAATTATATTATGTACTTATTGCTCGCATGCACCATCCATCTCAGCAAATCTTTCTTTCTATGCTCGTTTGTAAATTCCATTGTATGTTTGCGTGTTTGTATGTTTGTTTGTGTGTTTGTTTGTTTGTGGGTTTGTATGTTTGTTTGTGAGCTTGTTATTGTAGCAAATGTTTAGTTTGAATTTGGTGCTGTTGATGCATGCATTGTAGGATGGTATGCATGCATTATAGGATGGATGGATGCATTGTAGGATGGATGGATGTATTGTAGGTGGATGCATTGTAGGATGGTTAGCGTGTTTTTATTTTAGTCAGAATACCTCATAAAAATGTAGCATGTTAAGAAGTTGCATGTTGCAATGCTCGTTAAAACCATCACAAACAAAAAATAAAATCATGGTACGTATGTCCTTTTCTGTAACTGCTAGAAAATCTTTCTCCACGTTTCTGAAGTATTAAAACGAATGTTCACTCTTTTGTATGTTAACAATGTTAATGGTATTTCTCTTGCATTACTCGTTTAAATGAAAAATTAACTCCATAACCCAACCAGGAACAACTTCTCGGCAGTATCTCCAGCGTGTTACGTCATCCGACATCCCCTCCTCCACTCCAACTACTGCAACCATCGTCGTCGTCTTCATCATCGTCATCAGGAACAGGAGCGCCATCATCATCGCTGCCATCGCCACACGCAACTTCCTGTACGTCGTCGTCATCGTCATCCTCACTACTCTTCACATCCAGTCATCATCAGCAGCAAATGCAGCAACTACACCGTCAACAACAGCAGCAGCAGCAGCAACAGTTCTCAACAAACAATCAGAAGTTACAAAATTTGATTCAGAAACACAAGAGGCAGTACTTGGACAGACACTCAAACTCATCCAGTCAGTCATTCAAAGGCTCCAGGTTCAAAAACAACCAGGTTTCTTTGATTTTTCACACTTATTTGTTTTTCTTTTTTTTCACAAATTTATCAAATGCAAATTTAATACAATAAAACTAATTATTCTAATCAACACTTTTATGACGTTATTTAAATTTTGCTATGAACGTTCACCCTTTACCAGAGAGAACCGAGTGAACACGAAAAAGAGATACAAACGTTCGCACGGTTCTTCAAAAGAAGAAGAATAAACCTAGGTACGTTGTTATCACGGTGTACGTCTAGTACTTGTAACAGTTTGTAATGGCGTGATAGTGTAACGGTTATAGCGCCTGGATTTGGCGTCGCACTGAGTGGGTTCAACTGCAAAAGGGTTCCGATCAATCATATGCAATTTACGCGTAATTATGTGTGCTGTTCGTATTTGTGTGTGTGCGTGTGTGTGTGTGCTTGTGCGTGTGTGTGTGCGTGTGTGTGTGTGTGTGTGTGTGTGTGTGTGTGTGTGTGTGTGTGTGTGTGTGTGTGTGTTGGTAACTATCTCGGTATTTTTGGATGAATGGATAAATGAAGGAATAAATGAAACAATGGCTGAATGTATGAGTGGCAAAAAAGACTAATGTTTTGGTTACTTACACGGCTGATGGATGGGATGGTAAATAGATAACTGTGTAGATAGATGAATAAATTAAAGTTTCATTAATGGATGAATGAACGAATGAATAAATAAATAAATGAACGAACGAATGAATAAATGAATGGATGAATAAATGGTGAAAAGAGAACATGAATTTATTGAAAAATGAATGAATGATTGAGAACAGTGAATGTCGGCGAACAATAAATCAAATAGTAATTTTTGACGTGTTTGAAACAATCGTGGCGGAGTTGTTTCTTTCTTCAACCAAATATTTTTTGTCCTATTTTATGGAAACCAACACCATCGTTATCATCATTATCGCTATCATCAAAATTATCATTATCATCATCATCCTCATCATCATCATCCTCATCATCATCATCCTCATTTCATCATTATAAAAATTACAATCATCAGCATTCTTATCGTCACCATCAACAATAACCCTCATCATCGACTCTAAAAACATATAACAGTGACGTCAACATCGTCACTGGTGACGTCATCGTAACACGACGTAACGTAACACAAAACAGGATTCACTCAGTGCGACGTGGGCTTGACAATGGGCAAGCTATACGGCAACGACTTTAGCCAGACGACCATATCGAGATTCGAGGCCCTCAACCTCAGTTTGAAGAACATGAGCAAGTTAAAGCCACTGCTACAGAAGTGGCTCGATGACGTCACGCTGGCTTCCAACAATCGAAACAATCAAGTCTGTTTTTTTTTACATTTTTTCATTGATAACCTATTTGTAACTGTGAAGATTTTAATGGTTAATCCAATTATTTACATAACGCAATGAATCGCAATTAATGTAAGATGCCTTACTCTAATGTTAGTGCTGTCTGTACGAAAATAATATTTACTTTAAAAGTACGATTCTACAACATTTTCAGCTTCAAGATAAGCCGATGCCAAATATGAGCAACAACTGCAATAACAACAACAGTAACAGTATGAACAACATCAATAACAACAACCTCAACAACAACAATAACAGCCACGTCAACAGCAGCCACCACAGCCACCATCACCACAACACCAACCAAGACCCCGAAGACTTACCCTCTTTCAAAAGATCCCCCGACGGATCTCTCTCCTCCTCCTCTTCCTCCTCTCTCTCCTTCATGTCGTCAACATCATCTTCGCATGCACTGCACAGCGCTGCAATTGCTGAGTCTCTGATGAGGAAACGGAAGAAGAGGACGAATATCGATCAGCCAATCAGGATGGCCCTGGAAAACTTCTTCATCAGAAACTCCAAACCTTCCGTCGACGAGATATCCACGGTGGCCAACAATCTTCACATGGATAAGGAGGTTGTGCAGGTAACCTGTGATGATGATGATGATGATGGCGATGATGACGATGATAATGATGATAATGGCGATGATAATGATGATGATATATCAATGATGATGATGACGACGATGATGATGGTTTTAAGATGACGACGATAATGATGGATAGCAATTGTGATGCTGATAATGAGGGTTAAGATGAAGATTATGATGATGACTTCAACAATTGAAACAGAACGATTCTCTTTTACACTAATTTTCATCAGAAATATATTCTAAATAATGACACAAAACTTTCGGGTCACTTCGACTAGGTGTGGTTTTGCAACAGACGGCAGAAAGAGAAGCGTGTGAACGTGGGACCAGAGATCTTCAACAATGTTGATGCCCACAAACACCAAAAAATGCAACAAAATACTCCGTACGGGAATAAATCCACATCACAGCAACTTCATCAACAATTACAACAACAACAACAATTACAACAACAGCAACAGTTGCAACAACAGCAATTGCAACATCAACAACAGCAAATACATCAACAACAAATACAGCAACAGCAAAACAAACAAATGCAACGACAACAACAACATCAACAACAACAACATCAACAACAACAACATCAACAACAACAACGACAGCGCTGCTACGAATAAAGATAAAGATGATGAAGATGATGACGAAGACGACGATGATAATAATTCAATGGAAAATGATAACGATGATGACGACAATGGCATCCACAAAATTGAGAAGAAGGCGCACAACAGAGCCACTGATGACGACATGGAAGTCGACACCAACACGAATTCAATCAGCAACAACAACATTATGAACAACAACAAAAAAGTTCAACACAACAAAAACAACAACAACAGCAACAATTTGGATGCAAATGATGCCTGCAGCTCTGATGGCATCAGCAGCTACAGAAACAACAAATGCACGACAGGCAACAGTAATAATAAAATCAGTGACGAAAACATCAACAATTATAAACACATCAACAACAACCATCTCAACAATCACATCAACAACAACATCAGCAGCAATCACATCAGCAGCAATCACAACAACCTCGAGAATATCGTTTCGAAATACCAGTCACAAGCCAATCTGAATATTCCAACATTCCACCCAACATCAACAACGGCAACTGTTGTCAAGACAATTCCACACAACAATCAGTTCTGCAACAACCACAACAACAAAAACAACCACAACAACATCAATTACGCTAATCTTGCAACAAATGAACACAATGTTGCAACACCGCGTTTGTTTTGAAGTTTTCAATAAGAAAAAACAACAACAACAGTACCAACAAAAATTTGATTCGAAATGTTTATACTTGTTATTCAGTCTTGTTATTTCAATATTAATTTGTAAATATCCGTTTTATTGTACATACTTTTTGCTGTTTAATTTTCATTGTTTAGATTCACTCTAAGTAACTGCAACCATTATGTATAAATAATATAAAGTCTTTTAACAACATAAACTACAAAACAATAAAACTTATTGAAATTTTTTCACATTTTGTATGTATTCATGTGAAACTGCAAAGCTAATTAATAATAAAAACAATACCTTCTTTACATAATAATCCCCATCTTCCTTAGGTTAGCTACCTTTGTTAACGAGTAGAACCAATCGTAGCCTCGCGATGCGTTTTTGTTTTGTTCATATTTGTCTCAGTGGTTGAAAAATAAATTTTTGATTTGATTAACAATCTCTTTAAATGCAATTTTGTTTTGCCGTAGTCGGCCAGCAGTTATTATTAATCATCCAATTAGTATTATACACTCATATCTGAGTGGCGCAACTAAAATGTGGCTTTGGTGCTACGATCATATATTTTTGTAAAAAATTCATTGAAAGATTTTGGCTATCTACATCCACATAACGAGTCTGATGATTTTGGCAAGACTTTTGCTGATTTAAACATGCCATACATTTAAGAAAACACCAAAACGTTAAACCTTTTGAACAAAATCAGTCACCATGCTCTCTCAAAACAATCTCTCAAAACATTTCAAAACAATGCCACTGTCACTTTTACACGTTTCCTCATTTTCCATCACTAAACGTAAGTTGGTAAAATAGTGTTGAACGTCTGGAGCAGCAACTACCACAACAATTATCACGCCCCGTAGTTTGAACTGGATTAAGGGGAAAACAACCGAGTTAAGGATGTTCATTGAAGAAGTTTAATATGTTGGCTGTGTGTATATGATTAGGTGTAAAAGAGATATATTAGCTACATAATTAGATAAAAATTAGATAGAAAAATATGTCTGTTATCAGGTATATAACATATACGAATTATATATATATATATATATATATATATATATGCTTATATATGAATATATATATATATATATATATATATATATATATATATATATATATATGCATATATATGAATATATTATTTCTTTATAAGTTACATTATGTATTTTTTGATTCATAAATTTTTCAATTGCATTCTTTCATTTTTCTTTATACACTTTCTATTAAATGCTAACAAGCTTATGATTAAGCCTAAATCTAGTATATTACACATACAGTTATACATGTACGTATATATATATATATATATATATATATATATATATATATATATAAAGAGAAAGAGAGGGAGAGAGAGAAAGCATTTTTCTGTGTTCAGTCGATGTGTTCAAAAATTTTATTTTACATTTTAAAATAAATTATCGAATAAATTTTAAATTTGTGAATATTATTTTTTTCTCGCTTTCTTTTGTAAAAAAATGAATTAATGAAACCTTTGTAACGTTCATCTGATAGTTACAAACATTTGATTTAAAATGCAAATAACCGAGTTTTCATCGTTTTGTGTGAGAAGAAAAAAAATGTTTTTTGGTGATTTTTGTGTTGGTAAAAACTAAAAAATAAAGCGCTATAAAGATAATAACTGCTGACATTTTGAAATGAAAAATGTATCGAAGGAAAATGATCACAAATCGTAACAAAATGTACAGGAGTGTGTCGTACGTTTCATGAATGTGAACAATTTTAATTCAAAAATATTCTTATAATTTATTAGAATAATTATTTTCACAGATCTCAAAAAAATGTAGAAACAAATTATCTTTAATTTTCATAAAGCATCTTGTTCACTGACTGCAAGAAAACAACTACAAAACAACTCATCACATTGGAATGGTGGAAATCATCTTATGAAAATAAAACATAACATGTAGCAAGTCTAAAGGTCGTCACTAACAAATTTGGAGTATGTGATTAAATACAGGCGTACACGCACACATCCACACACACACACACACGCACATAAACGCACAAAAGCATGGAAATTCGTTTTATATATCGTAAATATTTCTGACTAATTTTTAACTTGACATCTACCGCGGGCTTAAGTTCGCAGTTTTGATGGTATAAAATTTCGTGAGATGTCATGCCGTACCTGAATGCAAATTCTATTCGCCCTGTTCTGAACGCTGAGTTGGAGTTCAGTTCATTGATGTCATTTTCAATCACGAACAACTATAAAATTTAATTTGAAAAAAACTTTATTAACAGTAGAGAAAAGAAACGAATATAAAATAGAACTCATGTTAAAAACATATCTAGACATAGATGTTTATTATATTTAGACGTTTGAACAGTCATTTCATGAAATAATTTTTTCCCCTCTACGGCTTGGAATTCACTAGCGGTTGGTTTGTTAAGTTGTTGTTAACACAGCCTGCAAAACTTTCAGAAATATCAGTTAGCTTTATTTTAAAAATAGAAAACATTTAACTTTAAATTTAGCTTGATCTCCAAATTAAAAACACCAACCACCCAAAAAATATTTTCCCATAACTTAAAAAATTTACATCAAACAGCAGAGCAGATGCTGCTAAATACAAAATGTATCTATCAAATATAATAAAAAAACTATAATTTTTTTTATAAAAAGTGATAAATTAACTTTTGCATTCATAGTCATTTAGAAACTGCCAAACCTGGCGAAAATGTTTGCAAAAATTGTTGAAAATTTCGAAATCTGATGTGAAATATGAAATATAGATTTGGGGTATGCCTGGCGAATGTCATATTTTTATTGTGGAAGTTTTTCCTTTAACGGTACTTGTTTTGTTGCTTTTTTTGTCATAATTTTCAAAATCTTTGTACGTTGTAATTTTTTAATAATTGTTGATGGGAAAATGATGACACGATGGTGATAAAGATGATGACGATGATAGTGATAATGATTTAGGGTGATGACGATATGACGACGACGACGACATCGACGATGATGATGATGATGACAATATTGATAATGAAATGAGAGGGCATAATTGAATTGAATTGAGTATATTTGATTCGGCCCAAAACACAAGGGATCATGGTACCAACGTATGTGCTGGCCACCTTATACTACTATAGGGCCACTAAGTTTCGGACAAGAAAGAAATTAAACTCAAATTCAAAATAATGAAAACTATTTAAGTGCTCCAAGAAGCATTTGCCATAAGATAATTTAATAAATGCGAAAAGACAATCAATGTAGAGTGACATGTTTAAAGGAAAGGAGCTGATTAGCAGATGTTTTGAAGGGACCCTAGTTTGGGGAGTTCCTCGTATTCTTCTTTCAAGCATCCAAAAGATGTAGATAAAGCTGGACAAAAACAAAATGGTAGAAGGGATGACATTAAATTGATAACGATGACACTTTTGTTGATAATGATGTGGATCATAGCAGTAACAAAAAATGGATAGTGATTTTAATGAGGAGGAGGATGATGGCGATGACGATGGCATGGCAGAATAGTATTTACGATGCAGTTAAATAAATACTTGCAAACGTCTAATTAGCATTGAACGAACTCGTTAGCATACATTTTCTCCGCACGCTGGCGAGGTTAAAATCGGAATCGGAGGTCAAATACTAATTTTCATCAGACGGCATACACAAACACACACACAAACACAAACATACAAATACATACATAAACAAACATACAAAATTTACATACAAACGCATCTCATACAAATAAACCAAGTTATACTCAAACACACAGCATACGAGCAAAACCATGCATACAAACACACTATTTTACATTGCTTTTTTTTTTATAAAAGTTAATAACCCTCAGCTCAACGTTTTGATGATAACACGTAGTCATGTAATGTATGTATGTAAGTTGTTTGCTATATATGAAGAGCAGCCATTTGAAACGATGGAAAATGCTATTGCTGTTGGTATCTCAAATTAAAATGGATTGAGAAAATGATTAAAACTACATCATTCGTTTCATCTGGTTCCAGTTAATTTATTCACAAACAACACACACACACACTAAACACATGCAAACACACACGCGCA